GCAACAGCGGTTTCCCTGTGGCGCTCCGTGAGCGTCGCTGTAACGGCCAGCCCTGGACGTCAGCCACGGGTAGCTCTCTAGGCACTCTCTTTGGTGTGCCCATGAGACCGGGGGCTGCACCCTGCCTCGCACAGCCTTTGATCTGTAACCCATCACTCACCAGGGTCCAGCAAGGCCCCCAGCGGTCAACCCTAATTCACTAGTACAGAAGCAACCCTGTGCTAACATATTCAGTGGCAAACCCTTGGCTCCCTTCCATGGCACAGCCGGTAGCTCTCTAGGCACTCTCTTTGGTGTGCCCATGAGACCGGGGGCTGCACCCTGCCTCGCACAGCCTTTGATCTGTAACCCATCACTCACCAGGGTCCAGCAAGGCCCCCAGCGGTCAACCCTAATTCACTAGTACAGAAGCAACCCTGTGCTAACATATTCAGTGGCAAACCCTTGGCTCCCTTCCATGGCACAGCCGACTTGGAGAGCTCTGCTCCTGGCAGCGGCTTCCTGGAATTCGTCTAACTCCTGTTACATAAACATTGGAAGCATGTTTATGAGAGGGGATTAATTCAGACACCCAGCCTTTTCCACACTCGAGAACGGGAGCGGGCTCTGTCTGGACAGCAGGGATGGGGGCCCAATGGCAGCAGGGACCCCACTGAGTGGGAATCCCAGCCGGTCCCGAGTCAGGGCTTGTCTACACTTACACCAGTGCACCGGTGCAGCTGGGCTGCTTACGTGAAGACACCATGCCAATGGGAGATCGCCCACAGGCCTGAGAGCGATCCCAGCGCTGGAGGCTTGCTCTGGGGCTGGGCTCCATGGTACCTGGCCTGGGACTATCTGGGCAGCCACTGCCAGCTTGGCGGGAGGTGAGGTGGGTCCCAATGGACAAGACATCAACCTCCAGAGCCTGCAATTGTGGGTTCAAATCCTGTCTCTGTCCCCACACTGCCCCAGAAGTGGCCAGGCAGCCACCACCAGCTTCCCCAGGGCTGGAGCTGGCATTAGCTGAAGGTAGGTAGCTATGTTAATGTCAGAAACCCGACCATTGACAGCGCATTGTTTGCACCAGGGACTGGTTAGTGTAGCTTAAGGTGTGGATTTTCCACCAGGGCTCAGACTGGTGCTACACCTACTGTCCTGCAACAGGGGGCTACATAAAAACGTTCTGGAGTCATGCTCTGGACCCCACATGGTTCTCAGCCTGGCCTCCCTAAGGGACTTTGTGCCTTAGGGTGTCCCTGATTCAAGGCATGGCTGGCGGGACCGGAGGCAGGGAATTGTGTCTTGTGTGGGTCTCACGAGGATGATTTCCTCTTTTGTGGCCTGCGTGGACATTACCAGCCACAAAATGACTCTTCTTTGCCTTCCTGAATTAGGTCCTGCTATTGCTTCTTAAAGGGGCCGGGCTCTGAGTCTCACTGGCAATCCAGGTCATATTCCACTTTACCAACTACCTTTTCTTGTCCCCCCCACAATTTTCCCTTCTTCCACTCTCCCTCCAATCTCCCCTATTTATTTTGGTCCTAGACATCCAACACTCCGGTCATCTGAAGAAGGGGGCTGTGCCCACAAAAGCTCATGATCCCATCGGCATGTTTTGTTAGTCTATCAAGTGCTACCCGACCATTTGTTGGGTTTTTTTCCAGTTTGCTCATCTACGCCGCTCAACTTGTTTTCGCTTCTGCCATGTGGTGGCGCTGCTGTTAAAATGCTGCCACCATAGCAAGTCAACAGCAGCGCCTGCTGTGCTAAGACCACAGGGGCAGGTGCCTCCCGGAACGAAGGGAACAGCCAATGTCTGCGGGAAGGGCACGGGCTTACTCTGAGGGTGAAAATTGTCTCCCGCCCCAGCCACAGCGTCACTGCTACACACGTTTGAGGTCATATGACTGTGCAGCTGCAGCGAGGGAGAGGGACCCAAATTCTGCCCTTCTCAGGGCCACATGACAGAAGCCCTGGACAAGGCGTGGTCCCAGCAAGCTCTCCAGCCCGATCCGAATGCAGCTGTCCCCACAAGCTGCAGCTTGCTGCTCAGCCCTGGTCTGGGTGCAGAAGGGCCTCTAACGACAGCAGCCGGCCTACACCTCTGGGCAATGATTCGACCACCTGTCAAGGTAGCCACGAGGGGAACACGATGCAAGAACAAACCCTGGCTGCCCCAGCCCAGTGCACTCCGTCAGCCAGTGCAGCACAGGCACCTGGGAAAGCCAAAGGAGATGCTCACACAACTTGGAGCCTTTCCCACGTGTCAGGGTCCGGTGCTTGTGCATTCGCGGGAGATGCAGGGTCACAGCTCTCCCAACTCAGAGCCGAGCTTTGTACGCAGCCCCATGGATCTAGACAGCAACCCACTGGCCCATGTGCACATCCAGGCGCCCCGGCATTGGGCTCTCCTACCCAACAGACCTGAGCCCCAACCCCTGCGGCAGGCAAGCCTGGGGACACGAACCCAGGATCTGCCCGGCGGTGCAAGGAAACCCAGCCAGCGGTAGCACAGGGCTGAGCTCCCAAAGGAGGCTTCCCCCGGGTATCAAAGCAGGATGTCAGTGTACAGTGAGTCACGGCGGACGTAGCTCGTTGGAAAGTCAACATCCCACACGCCAAGGCCTCCCCGTAACCAGGCGTGGGAGGAATTCACAATACACATCTGCTAAGTCATCTCCCGGTCTCCTCTGAAACCCCTTAACACCTCCGCCGCCGTGACACCTACAACACGCGCACCAGGCTGGGGACCTGCAATTGGTGCTTCCCCGGCCAACCAGCAGCCCCCTGCTTTCTATGGGCTCCTTGTCTCCGCTGTATTCCCATTGAACCTTCAGTCCATAAACTCTCTGGGGCCAGAGTCACCTTTCTAAGAGGTGTCTGTGCAGCGCTCAGCACGGCAGGCCCTGACGTCTAGGTGCAGCCTTAGCCCCGCCCCTCCCTCCTGAGGCCCCGCCCCTGGGGCCAAGCCCCGCCCACTCCCAGCCCCATCCTTCCTGACCACCTGGAGGGCTGGGGCTGCTATTCTTTGGCCCTGACCCCAGCCCGCCCTGGTGACCAGGGAGCAGGGCTGCCACACCACTTCCCCATCTCTCCCTGGTGGCTGGGGAGCCGGGCTTCTGTGCCACGGCCCCGGCCTTCCCCGGCAACCAGGGCACGTAGGCAGTTTTGGGAAGGCAGTGCTCTCCCTTGCGTACGCCACCCGCCGCCCATGGTGGTGCCGCAATACAAACTAACCTGAACCTGTTACACACACCTGGCTAGAGGCCCTATCTGAGCGGGGTCAGCGAAAGCACCTGTTAACACCTCAGTGCTGCTAGGGAAAAGATGCTTCCTGTGGGGCGCACCGGGGTGGCCGGTCCTTTCCGCCCCTCCCCCTCAAGGGTTTTACTGACCTTGAGCATCTCTGAAAGTCCCTCGCTGGGGAGCGAGCGCTGCCCAGAGGCCCGGGGATCCTGCCATTGCTTGCAAATGAGCCCTCTGGACAGTCAATGCTCTGCAGTGCCCTGAGCAGCTTCACCCACCCGCCAAGCACAGGAAGCAGGTGGCCCATGCAGACAGCCCCCCACCACCGGCCCCGCCTAGGGATGCACTGAGTCTGTCCTGCCTCTGCACCAGGCTGCTCCACAGGCGAGTGCCAAGCCAAGCATTTCTCGCTGGCTTTGCTGAGCTCAGCCCTGGGTGGTGTTTTGACTCCCCGGGTCTGTTCCCACATCACGGGCTCAGCTGAGGCCTCTGTCTCTCTGGGAAGGAAAGACAGGGCCCCAGGCCGGCATGACAGCGCCCTCAGGGCCACTCGGGATGGTCAGCGCATTACCGGGCCTTCCCTTTCTTGTTCATAGACAATGTAAAGGGATAAATTTGACCCTGAACCCTGCTTTGGGAAAGAGACAGGAGATGCCCAGGCAGCTAAGACCAATGAGAATGAACAGGGTGCCAGGCCTGGGAGTGTGGGAACCAAGAGGCTAAGCCAGGATCCCAGGATACAAGAAGTGGGGACACAGCCAAGCCAATCACAGAGCGGGGAGCAGGTACAGCCAGGCCAGGCAGGAATCTGGGTCAAAGACAGGCAGAAAGGGATGGAAGTGGGCAGGTCTGGCCAGGTTAGGTGGGAAGGAGGGAGAGTGGGCAGGTCATTCCAGGAGGGAAGGGAGGGGGGCAGGGTGGTTCGGCCAGGCAGGGAGGGAGAGGGGCAGGAGTGGCCAGGCCCAGCCAGGTAGGAAGGGGGAAGGGGAGCAGGCCCAGCCAGCAGCCATACTCACTCAGGCACTGCAGGGCGCACAGCGAGCAGCTGGTGCTGCTGGAGAAAGTCCCTGGCACCAGCTGGTGCCCATTGACCCTTTTCCAACTTTCCTTCAGCTCCACTGGCTCCTTTTCCTTTTCTCTCTCTCTCGGTTGCTCTTTGCTCTTACCCTAGAAGGGAGAGAAGCAACGTCATGGCCCTGCGGAGCACGAGGTCACTAGGGGCTTCGTGCCACCCGCACCTTCTGTCCCTCACACACTCCTTAGTGCTAGCACCTTTGGGTGGCTCGTTCCCAGCCTGCACGGGTTCCCAGGGGACTGAGCCAGCCCCAGAATCCCCGTAGCCCCACGAGGCTGGGTGCACGCAGGACTGAGGGCAGGATGCAGCCTGTGTGCATTAGACATCTGCACCACCCCTTAGAATATCAACTCGCCCCTGCCCGGGGGATGGTTTCCTGGGGAGGGATGTGCCGGGGTGTCTCTGCACTGGGAAGAGAACGGCTTCCCCCAGGCAACCCAACCACCAGCCCCCTTCCTGACCCTCGCCCCACACGGGAGGCCATGCGGTCACATCCTCCCTGCACGTCGAGACATCGGGCAGCCCTTGCAGGAGTAGCCAGGACAGGTCTATGAGCAAATCCGGCAGCCGGCATGGAGGCTCCCAGCAGTGTTACAGGCTGGGCTACTGAGCACCCAGTCCATCCCAAAACAGCCCAGCTAGCCCCTCCCTGGGTCCCGGGAAGCCTCCGTCCAACTCCTCCGCGTTTCTCTCTCACCTTATCCTTCTGCCAGGACCCGGTGACGCGGTTCCGCAGGGAACTCAGCCGGCGCTTCACCTTGGTGCCTTTCTCGATCTTGTCGCTCTTCCCGCTGTCCTCAGTCCTGGAAAGTGCCCGGAAATGGGTCTCATGCCAAGGGCAGGAAAAGTGGGGCAGGGGAGGAAAGGGCCAGGGAAGCCCTGGGACAGGCAGGTGCCCTGCTCCGGCCACCCCCAGGAAAGACTCTTTATGGATCTCACTCTAATGCCCCCACCTCCATCCCCCTCCCGGGGCCCTGCAGGAGTTTCCCAAATCCCACGTGAGCATCTGATTCCGTGACAGCCTCTCCCCCACCTCGGCAGCCTGGTGGTGCTGAGCCCTCCAGGAACCTGGGTTCAAATCCCAGCTTAGCCACTGACTTTCTGCCTGTCCTTAGGAAAATCTCATCCCCCCACGGGGCGGCTCATGCCTACAAGAGGAGGAGACCAAGGGGACGCCTGTCTGGACAGTTAGCTCCTCGGGGCAGGGGCTGTGATCCCGGCCGGGATGGAGGCAGCTCCACCACCCGCTGGCTCACTCACTCATTAGACAGGAACTCAAACCAGGTGAGGTTCTGCTGGGCTTCATCGCTGCCCTCAGCAGCACTGGCCCTTTGCTTCGCCCTGCACGGGGGGACAGGAAAAGGTGTCAGAAGATTGAACGGTGCCAGAGCCTCTGCAGGGAGCAAGTGTCAGACCCTGGGGAGGCTTAATGGGGGGCAGCCCCCATGGGGGTTAGGGAAGGTCTTGGGGGGATCCTGATGGGCATATTCTGAGGGGGTGTTGCATGGGCGCTGTCCCAGGGCCCCCCATGAGACTGGTCCAGCCCAGATGACAGGTCCCCTCTCCCAGCCCCACACTTACCCGTGATACTGTTTCAGCTCCTGCAGTACCTGCTGGACCATCAGCCTACCAGGGAGAGGGAAAGGGGTCAGAAAGTCTCCCCTCCGCCCCGCCCCACCGCTGCTCCAAACCCTCCCTGAGCCCAGCAGTGGCGATTCCTACCCAGGTAACAGGGAAGGTGCAACCGGCCCAAGGGAGCGGGGCAGCTATGCAGACTCTGCACAGTCCCCCTGTGCCCCACACAGCAGGAAACACCACCCCAGCACAGTCACTGGCAGCAGGAAACACCAGCCCAGTGCAGTCACTGACAGCAGGAAACACCCTCGTGAGCCCAGGGGGCACCTCCCAAAGCAGACACGGTCACGGCTCCTGGCTCCCTTAGAGGCTGAATCTGGGTCCCCAGCTGCTCAGCACGGACAGAACCATGGAGCCACCCCCTGGCCAGGATCACAGATACCTACACTTGCTCTGGGGCCACATGGTCATTTTCAATCGGCTCCAGCACCGGCTGTCCAATACCTGGAGTGGCAGGAGAACATGGTCAGTGGGGTTGCCAGCTGCCTGGGCTACCCCAGGGCCACCTCGGAGCGTGCCTCAGTTTCCCAAGCTGTCCCTCCTGAGCGCCGTCCTCTGTGCTGCCTCCTTCACATTCTCCTTGGATGGCAAGAGCTCAGGGGAGCCTAGGCAAGGTGCCAGCTTTTGATTTAAAGGGGCCTGGGGCTTTTGAATTGCCGGGCCTTGGGACACCTGCCCCCTTTGCCCGCCCCCCATCGGAGGGGCCCCCAAGAGCTCCATTCATTACAAGCCACCTTGCACTACTTCTCTGTTGCACCCTCTTTATGCTCCCGCCCTGGCTCTCCCCAGGGGAGGGCTGGAGCCAGGTGCACTTTGCTCAGTAGCAGCCTGGCCGGAGAGGATGCTCCTTAACAGAGCTTCCAGCAGCTGGCTCCCTGGGTGTGGGGAGAACAGAGCTCCGGGACATGGGGGAGGTGACAGGCCCTAGCCAAACCTGGCGTTCGTAGGGGTTCCTTGTGCTCTCCGGCAAATTTAGTCTTGTCACCCTGGTCTGAAGACAGTTTCGGAACAAGCAGGGGTCTGGGGTCTTTCTGGGGCCAGCAGCTTTTCCAGCATCGCTTTACAAAGGGGTCAGAAATCCCAACAGGACACCCAGGAAGGCAGCGGTCAATTCTCTAACAATAAGGGGTATCTCTGCCATTGTGCTCTAAAGGCCGCCTCCTCCCTGGCAGGCTTGGTGCGTGCTGACTGCACATTGCTATCTGTTCTGGAAGCTCAGTTACCGGGGGAGGCCTGCACCTTGATGGGTGGGACTGGGGCTTAAGTGGAGCCTGAGTTGTTGGGATGCTGCTTTCTTCATGCAGCGCTCAGTTAACCTCTGGAACTCCTTGCCAGAGGATGTGGTGAAGACCAGGATTTTAACAAGGTGTCATAAAAGAGCTAGATAAATTCATGGAAGTTAGGTTCATCAATATTTATTAGCCAGAATGGGTTGGAATAGTGTCCCTAGCCCTCTGTTTGTCAGAGGCTGGGAATGGGTGACAGAGGAGGGATTACTTGATAATCTGTTCTGTTCACTCCCTCTGGGGTATCTGGCACTGGCAACTGTTGGCAAACAGGACACCGGGCTGGATGGACCTTTGGTCTGACCCAGTATGGCCGTTCTGTTCTTACAACACTATTCACATGCAAGCAAGGATCTGCCATCACCTCCAGCCATGGACATGTTCTTTGGCAAGGTGTCATTGGACACAGCTGGGACAGCAGGACTCCGATACCATGGTAACAGGAGCTATGAAAATTCCTTAGATCAGACTCGGTACCGCTAACTCTGCGCCTGAGGGTGTCATTTCTGGCTTGGATAGACATACCCGCACTCGCCCTCACTGAGCTAGCCGGAAGCAAAGAACAGCGCAGCAGCTGCAGCTAAATGGACTACCCGCGTCTACACTCAGGGCTGCGTGGACTTTGGGATTCTCCAGAGGGTCTCCTCCAACCACACCCTTTTCAGAGTAGCCCTGTGCATCATGCCAGGCACTTACTCACCTTTTGCAGCTGGGAGCGGCACCTCCAGACTCGAGATTCGAGACACGGAAGCCGTGCGGCAGCTGGAGGGGATGGACTTGGACCTCAGTCTCTTCTCATTGCTGCCACATTCCTGGAAAAACAGAGCCATCAAGGCCTCCAGCCCCTCCTGCAGCAAGGGTGATTCAGGGGTGTGGGGCGAGCACTGCTCATGAGCACCAGCAGGGGGTCTGCCGATGGTAAGGATGGAAGTGACTAAACAACTAGTTACTTCCCCTCCTTGCTGCTGCTATCGGGGGGGGGGGGGGGGAGAGGGAAGAGTAGAAGGTGCTGGGGAGAGCCGGCTTAAAATAGGACTCCCAGCTGGCCCTGGGCTTCATGGTGTTCCAACTTTGAAATGTACAAGAGGCTCTAGTCCTTAACAAATTGAATAGCTGATAGAAAGCCCATCGACGATTCGATTAGTTAATTCATTGAAATGTAACGTCCCTAGCCAACGGCTCTGTCCACTGTCTCTGGCTCTGTCTTCCATCAACAGTCACCCCACGGCATGAATCGAGGCCTCCCTTCCAAACCAAAGATCCAGGAAACAAATCCCAGGAATAGGCTAACATCCCGCCCCTCCCGTTGGTATGTAACCAGAGTTACGAATGCGGGACATGCTATAAAGGCTGTCTATTTACTAGGCTTTCTAGGGAGCACCGAGAGGCTGGGCTTTAGGGTGGGGAGGCAGAAGTACACACTGCTGTGAAATCTGCTGTCTACTGGCTTGTGCCAGGACTGCTAGGGTACCCAGAACTTTTGCACAGATGTTCTTTTCACGTAGAGGGAATCAAAAGAAAGCCAAGTAATGGTATTGGGTGGTACGCCCCCATCTCGAATGCTGCGTATAGATGTGGTCTCCTCATCTCAAAAAAGATACTTCGGCATTGGAAAAAGTTCAGACAAGGACAACTAAAATGATGAAGGGTTTGGACTGGCTGGCATATGGAGAGAGATTAAAAAGACGGGGACTTTTCAGCTCAGAAGGGAGGAGACTAAAGGGGGAATATGATAGAGGTCTATAAAATCATGACTGGTGTGGGAAAAGTGAATAAGGAAAAGTTGTTTACTTGTTCTCATCACATAAGAACTAGGGGTCACCAAATGAAATTCATAGGCAGCAGATTTTAAACCAACAAAAGGAAGTACTTCTTCATGAAACACACAGTCAACCTGTGGAACTCCTCGCCAGAGGATGTGGTGAAGGCCAGCACTTTAACAGGGTTCAAAAAAGAGCTAGATAACTTTCTGGAAGTCTATCAATGGTAGGAATAGTGTCCTGAGCCTCTGTTTGTCAGAAGCTGGGAATGGGTGACAGGGGATGGATTACGTGATGATTCCCTCTTCCGTTCATTCCCTCCGGGGGCACCTGGCATTGGCCACTGTGGGCAGACAGGACACTGGGTGAGATGGACCTTTGGTCTGACCCAGAGTGGCCGTTCTTATGTTAGCTGCTCATCAGGAGTCCTTAGTTCCTAACGGGCTCGGACACTTGGGGATCTCTGTATCAGGCTGTAAGTGGGGGGGGGGTCCCCCTTTCTCCTGGGCTTCCAGGGGGTCTGTGAGCCACACTGCACAGAAGCCCCCAATGACCTGTGTTGTGATGATGCAGGAACATGTCCTCGATGAAGCAGTTTGTCCCAGAGCAGAGAGAGGACTCCGCTGTTCAGGGTTCACAGGTGCTGAGGTCCCTGGGGGTGGTGCTGGCAGGAACAGAGCTTGGAGAGACGGGGCAGAGGTCCAGCCAGCAGCCCGGCCTCCCCCCCTCCCGCCCCGTGGGCCAGGCTTTCACACCCACTCACTGTGTCCTGTGTCCTTTCGAGCTCTTCTGACTCCAGGTCACTGGCCGTCTCCGAAGCATCCAGGCTTAGTCTAATTCAGGGAACAGAAACCAACTCAGACCATGGGAAGGCAGAGCGGGGGCAGAGGGGACACCGGTCCCTGCCCTCCTCTACAGCCCTCTGTCCGAAGGCCTCATCCCCAGGGGCAGTCTGGGTCCAATTCGGCACTGGACACATCAGTCCCACAAAGGCTGCTGTCTCTCGGTGAAGGCCGAGCCAGTTAGTCGTCTGCGGCGGGTTAGCAGAAGCTGGCCAAGCAAAAACAGACCTGCCTCTCCATTCTAGGGCTGCCAGCTGAGGACAAGAAAGCCCCATGACAGGCACAAGCCACTTTGGACAGTAGCCTGGGGGTGACAGACAGGCCAACTTTCTGCAATAAGCCTGGGGAGGGAGGAGAGGAAACATATTTGGGAAGCTATAAGGGATATGAGTCCTTTGGGATCAGAGGCCTGTAGCTGGCTGCCTGCAAGCCCTGCCCGCCGTGCCTGAGAAGAGAGCAGAAACTCCATGAGCTGATCCGTATACAAGAAGGTAGTAGGAGATGAAGGGAGTAGGGTTGTCAGATGGTTTAACCAAAAATACCGACGCCCCCTCCTACACACAAAAAACACCAGGGAAAAAATTCTGCTGAGAAAAAAAAAAGGGGGGCGGGGAGACCAAAGTTGTTGAGGAAAAAAAAAAGAAGGGAAGGCCCCTTTAAGAAATGCTTTTGAGCTTTTTAGCCCTAACTTGACTCCCTGCACCGAGCGGGACAGCTCCCATGCAGAACCTGGGAAGCACCTGGGATTTTCACCTCATGGCTGGGGAAAAAAAACAACAACAACAAAAAAAATCAGAAAATACCGTCATTTTAAGTGTCCTGTATTTTCTGAATTTTTTTTTACTGGACAGGAGGTGAAAATACTAAACTGTCCGGGTCTATATCAGACACCGGGCAACCCTAGAAGGGAGAGACTCCGACAGTAGAGGGGCCAAGGGTTGTGCTTTTAATGTGCTGTTGCTGGAGCCACTACACAAAAGACCTGGTCCATGCCCAGAAAGGAGACTGGGAATTCCTGGATTACTGAGGCTGTGAGTTCAGAGGCAGGAATTTGGGGGCGCTGAAGGCACTGGCGTGAGGGACAGGCATGGGGAAAGGAACTACTCTGCGTGCACGGGCTCCACTAGTTTTGATTTGAGGTAAACAGGATGAAGTTTAATAAGAAAAAATGCAAAGTGCTCCACTTAGAGAGGAACAATCAGTTTCACACATACAGAATGGGAAGTAACTGTCTAGGAAGGAGTCCTGCAGAAAGGGATCATCGTGGACCACAAATTAAACATGAGTCAACAGCGTGACATTGTTGCAAAAGAAGCGAACGTAATTCTGGGCGGCATTCAGTGTTGTGAGCAAGACACGAGAAGTCATTCTTCCGCTCTGTGCTGCACTGATTTGGCCTCAGTTGGAGGATTGTGTCCAGTTCTGGGCACCACATTTCAAGAAAGAGGGGGAGAAACTGGAGAGGGTCCAGAGAAGAGCGACACAAATGGTTAAAGGTCTAGAGAACATGAGCTATGAGGGAAGGTTGAAGGAATTGGGTTTGTTTAGTTTGGAAAAGAGAAGACTGAGAGGGGACATGAGAGCAGTTTTCAGGTATCTAAAAGGGTGTCACAAGGAGATGGGAGAAAATTGTTCTCTTTGGCCTCTGAGGATAGGACAAGAAGCAATGGGCTTAAATTGCAGCAAGGGAGGTTTAGGTTGGACATTAGGAAAAGCTTTCTAACTGTCAGGGTGGTTAAACACTGGAATAAATTGCCTAGGGAGGTTGGGAAATCTCCATCACTGGAGAGATTTAAAAGCAGGCTGGACAGGCACCTCTCAGGGATGATCTAGATGGTGTGTGGTCCTGCTGTGAGGGCAGGGGACTGGACTTGATGATCTCTCGAGGTCCCTTCCAGTTCTTTGATTCTATGGGGGTTTTTTGTGCAGAAGGGTTAAAATAAACCACAAACCCAGCTGGAAATTGCTTCCCTGAGTTATAGAATCATAGAACACTAGAACTGGAAGGGACCTCAAGAGGTCATCAAGTCCAGTCTCCTGCCTTCACAGCAGGACCAAACACTATCAGATCATCCCTGATAGATATTTATCCAACCTGCTCTTAATATCTCTAATCATGGAGGTTCCACAACCTCCCTAGGAAAATTATTCCAGTGTTTAATAGCCCTGACAGGAAGTTTTTCCTAATGTTCAAACTAAACCTCCCTTGCTGCAATTTAAGACCATTGCTTCTTGTCTTCTCATCCAAGATCAAGAACAATTTTTCTCTCCTCCTCCCTTTTAGTTACCTGAAAGCTGCTATCATGTCCCCTCTCAGTCTTCTCTTTTCTAAATTAAACAAGCCCAGTTCTTTCAGTCTTCCCTCATAGCTCATGATTTCTGGACTTTTAATAATTTTTTGCTCTTCTCTGCACCTTCTCCAATTTCTCCACGTTTTTCTTGAAATGTGGTGCCCAGAACTGGACACAATCCTCCAACTGAGGCCAAATCAGTGCAGCACAGAGCGGAAGAATGACTTCTCGTGTCTTGCTCACAACACTCCTGTTAATGCCGCCCAGAATCAAGTTCGGTTTTTTGGGTTTTTTTTGCAACAGTGTCACACTGTTGACTCATATTTAGCTTGTGATCCACGATGACCCCGAGATCCCTTTCTGCAGGACTTTTTCTACAATTTGCATCGACTAATTGATTAGTCGATAAGGGCACCTCTGCCATTGAAGGGCTGTTGCTATACTTCAAAGGTGAAAGCGCTGCAGGGAGCATAGGGCTAGTGGGGGACTCAGGCTGTCCCCCGTGGTGTTTCACAGCGGTTGTGCCACATAGAACGTGGGGACAGCTGGGGACTCTGAGTCCCCAGCTGACCCCAGGCTCCACGCAGCACTGCCACTTTGAAATGCCATGGGGACCCCGGCATGAGACTCCATGTGGCATTTCGAAGTGGCAGTGCTGCATGGAGCCCGGGGTCAGCGAGGGAGTTCTCCGCTGACCCTGGGCTCCACATGGCACTGCCACTTTGAAATGCTACATGGAGCCCGGGGCCATCCGGGGACTCCCAGGCAGCACGTGGCATTTCAAAGCGGCAGACCCCGGGCTCCACACAACACTGCTGCTTTGAAGCGCCTCCTTCCTCCCCCATCCCTTTGCTGCCTCTTTCTGATAGTTGCAGCAAGTGGGGGGAGAGTGACTAGTTGACTAGCATATCGACTATCTGATAAACTTATTGAATAGTCGACTAGTCTTTCCCCTCCCTCGTGTTGTCGTCCTGTTGGCCAAAATACCACCACCATCATGTTGGGCTTTCCCTTTGAAAACGCTGGATTTTGCAGGCAGTACTGTAGAACCGCCCTGGACACCCTGCTACCCCCGCTTCCAGCAGAGGCTGCTACATAGGCCACAGTAATCCTCGTTCAGGAGCCAGGATAACTCTCCCATGCCTCAGAGGCCCTGGCGATTCCTAGCACGCTGAGCGAAAGCACTGCCAGGACACCAGCTGCACGGGAACGAAGGGACAAAAGGAGACTAATGGGAAATCGTACAGGCGCTCGGCAAGCCAGACACAGGTCCTGGGAGAACTGGACACATCCCCTTTCCCCAGCCCCCTTCCCCACACTTCCTCAATCACCCAGACCAACGCTGCCGCTGGCCGCCAGCCACCCTGCTCATGGGCTCCTGCCACGGCGTAAGCTGGGAACAGAACACAGCGCATGGAACAACAATAGATCTTCGGACCGAAGCCTGCGCCCGATAAAGGCCTGCCAAGATCGCAGCCCCAGATAATTCCAGGGCACCTTATAAGGAGGAGGAGATAAAAATAGTCCTTGCTGGCTCACAGCTTCCTCCCTGCCGGCCGCCCGATCAATACGCTCGTCTCAAGGATACAGAAATCCCACCCAGGGCTGTGTGTGACTGTGCATGTGCATGCGGAGGCGGGAACTCC